AACTGATTTTCAGATGTACCCTCCACTTGATTTTATTATACGTAAAGGTGGCGACACACTGCACTTACGGTATCCGAGAATATTGTTCGTGGTTGTTTGCGATCGCGACACTTATACATTTTTATAACCGGATTCCACGTTGGTGAGAGTTTATATCCACTTTCCCGGTTGAAATTGTTGTGTTTTTTGATTTCAACCGCTTCACGAACAATCCTTGGATAGTAATGTCGTTCAGTGGAAAGGACATGAGGTGTATGTAACTCGATCCAGTGGTTTGATCCAGATGATAATAAGTGCTCTGCAATCGCGGACTTCTCCACTTGACGATTTTTGACCGCTGCTATGTGTTCTCTTACACGTTCGGCGATAGTCCGCTTCGTTTGTCCGATATATGAACTACCGCAGCTGCAGTCAATTTTATAAGCGCCAGGTTTTTGGTAAGGAATACTATCCTTTGGTGATCGCAATTGGTGTGACATTTTTGATAAAGGAGTAAAAATGGTGTCTATAGAAAAATTTTTCCTCAAAATGGAACCGATTTTGTCCGTTACTCCCTTAACATAGCCTAAAAATGCCCGTTGCCTGGGAACCTTAGGTAGTCTTTCCTTACACCTTCGGATAGGGTATGACCTCCTTGCGCTGTATCCATTTTTCCTTAGCACGTCCTGTACATGGGACAACTCATCTGCTAAGAAGTCAGTATTACATAATGCGTTAGCCCTGTTAATAAGAGTTGTCTCCACAGAACGTAGGTATTGAGGATGATGATGAGATGAAGCGTGGAGGTACTTGTCTGTGTGTGTTGGTTTCCTGTAGACAGTGTGTTTCAGGGACCCATCAGCTTGCGCCATGACTTTAACGTCCAGAAAGGGTAAGGTTTTGTCAGTCTCTAACTCATAGGTGAACTTGAGATTCGGATGGATATTATTGACGTGTGTAAGGAATTGCTCAATCTCCGGTTTGTCGCCCTTCAGGATACAGAACACATCGTCTACATACCGTTTCCACATACGGATCCCATGTGACTAGTAATCTATCAATGACTCGACATGTTCCATCCATATATTGGCCAAAAGTGGCGCTACGGGGCTACCCATGGCGACACCATCAATTTGAAGGTAATGTTTGCCGCGATATAGAAGATAGCTGCCATCTAAACAGTTCCGTAATAGAACCATGTACCCTTCCGGTATATCGTTTTGTCTAAGTTTCATCCCAACAACCTCTAGACAGTCCTTAACTGGAACTTTAGTGAACAGCGACTCAACATCAAAACTCACCATTACGTCATCCGGATCCAGTTTTGTATCATCAAGGATCTGTACAAAATGACGCGAGTCCTTCACAAAGGATGTTGTAGTGCCCACAATGGGTTGCAGTACGGAAGCAACGTGTTTTGCCAAATAATAAGTAGGTGAGTCAATTTGACTCACAATCGGTCTCAGTGGAACGCTGGCCTTATGCACTTTCGGCAATCCGTATAATTTTGGTGGTTGTACTATCTTCGGCTTGTATTGGTTCTCAAAGATGTCCTCGGTGAAAAGGTGTTTATAATCCCTGATAACAGCACGTATTCTCCTTGTAACTCTCGCAGTTGGATCGTACGATACAGCAAGCAAGCAGAATTTTCGAGTTATCCACGCAAAAGCTTGAACGTAAATTCGAAAAATTGCTGTTTCGTAGTGGAAGATCAAGGATCACTGGGGAGTCAGTTGATGACGTCATCAACTTATCGGATACTACACTTGACGGTGCCACTCGCGGTGTTTTAGCAAAGGGACTGAATTTTGCTACTAACCCGAAGAGGATACCGTATGAACATATCATCAGCAGTATAGAGGAGACAATAGTTCGTAATAAGGTACCAACTGATGATGCCGACGCTTTGAGGCAAGATGTCGCTATCGTGTTACGTAAATCCAAAGTACCTAAGAGCAACGTCACGAGCGAAGAACGTAGAGCTCTTAAGAACTTGAGAACTAATAAGGACCTTCTCGTTCTCAAGGCCGACAAAGGCAACGCTACCGTCGTGATAAATACTAGCGATTACGACTCCAAAATACTTGCTCTGTTGCAAGATGATAACATATATAAGCCGGTATCGTACGATCCAACTGCGAGAGTTATAAGGAGAATACGTGCTGTTATCAGGGATTATAAACACCTTTTCACCGAGGACATCTTTGAGAACCTATACAAGCCGAAGATAGTACAACCACCAAAATTATACGGATTGCCGAAAGTGCATAAGGCCAGCGTTCCACTGAGACCGATTGTGAGTCAGATTGACTCACCTACTTATTATTTGGCAAAACACGTTGCTTCCGTACTGCAACCCCTTGTGGGCACTACAACATCCTTTGTGAAGGACTCGCGTCATTTTGTACAGATCCTTGATGATACAAAACTGGATCCGGATGACGTAATGGTGAGTTTTGATGTTGAGTCGCTGTTCACCAAAGTTCCAGTTAAGGACTGTCTAGAGGTTGTTAGGATGAAACTTAGACAAAACGATATACCGAAAGGGTACATGGTTCTATTACGGAACTGTTTAGATGGCAGCTATCTTCTATATCGCGGCAAACATTACCTTCAAATTGATGGTGTCGCCATGGATAGCCCCGTAGCGCCACTTTTGGCCAATATATGGATGGAACATGTAGAGTCATTGATAGATTACCAGTCACATGGGATCCGTATGTGGAAACGGTATGTAGACGATGTGTTCTGTATCCTGAAGGGCGACAAACCGGAGATTGAGCAGTTCCTTACACATGTCAATAATATCCATCCGAATCTCAAGTTCACCTATGAGTTAGAGACTGACAAAACCTTACCCTTTCTGGACGTTAAAGTCATGGCGCAAGCTGATGGGTCCCTGAAACACACTGTCTACAGGAAACCAACACACACAGACAAGTACCTCCACGCTTCATCTCATCATCATCCTCAACACCTACGTTCTGTGGAGACAACTCTTATTAACAGGGCTAACGCATTATGTAATACTGACTTCTTAGCAGATGAGTTGTCCCATGTACAGGACGTGCTAAGGAAAAATGGATACAGCGCAAGGAGGTCATACCCTATCCGAAGGTGTAAGGAAAGACTACCTAAGGTTCCCAGGCAACGGGCATTTTTAGGCTATGTTAAGGGAGTAACGGACAAAATCGGTTCCATTTTGAGGAAAAATTTTTCTATAGACACCATTTTTACTCCTTTATCAAAAATGTCACACCAATTGCGATCACCAAAGGATAGTATTCCTTACCAAAAACCTGGCGTTTATAAAATTGACTGCAGCTGCGGTAGTTCATATATCGGACAAACGAAGCGGACTATCGCCGAACGTGTAAGAGAACACATAGCAGCGGTCAAAAATCGTCAAGTGGAGAAGTCCGCGATTGCAGAGCACTTATTATCATCTGGATCAAACCACTGGATCGAGTTACATACACCTCATGTCCTTTCCACTGAACGACATTACTATCCAAGGATTGTTCGTGAAGCGGTTGAAATCAAAAAACACAACAATTTCAACCGGGAAAGTGGATATAAACTCTCACCAACGTGGAATCCGGTTATAAAAATGTATAAGTGTCGCGATCGCAAACAACCACGAACAATATTCTCGGATACCGTAAGTGCAGTGTGTCGCCACCTTTACGTATAATAAAATCAAGTGGAGGGTACATCTGAAAATCAGTTAAAAACATTATTACCGGATTACCCTCAACTAAAATCAGAAGACGACACCCGCCAGTTCTCCAGTCTCCTCGTGACCACGGCTGCTGTAACGTAGCCGAAACGTCGAGGTAAATTAATTGTTTTAAAAAATGCACGAGCAAGACCCGATTGCATATAATTATAATGTATACAAATCGTGTGAGTTTAAAAATAATGTTATCATTTTCTAGTATCATTTGTAATCACGTGACTCACAGTACAAAAACCATTATTCTTAAATGAAAAAAATATTTAATTAGTAATTTATTAATTAAACTTGTTTTTTTTTTAGATTCTGTGTTAATAAACTGTGCGTTTAAATATCATATAAATTTATTTTTGTCTACGGTACGTAAATAATTTATTCTCAAAGTGTACAAAATAATTTTGGGAACCCCTGCTCTATTTATATAAAAAAATAATACTTTTTAGTACCTGAATCTAGTATTCGTATTCGTAACCGTAACCGAAATGACATATCCGTAACATCCCTGCTTCAGATTACTCCGCGAGCAGGTGCTTTGTTCTGGTTTTTTTGTGCTATATACATTAATCAACATACCGATTTATTCATATTAGAATAAAGCTGAAATACGGTTATTTATATATAAAAAGATTATTTTCATATAAACTACAATGTCAATTGTAAAAAAACTGCTTTAAATTTCTTTTTGCGCAAATTTAACCAACATTTTCAAGTTTATTATATTTTTAATACTTTAAATTGGTAGTTGCTATTTATTTTTTAACAAAAATTAAACTCTTAAAATTTCAGCCATTTACACATATATTTATATTTGTGTAAGTAGTTAGCAAAATATTAAACATTAAGAATGAAACTTGAGTGGATATCAAGCTTTAGAAAGCTCTTGCACATTTTTGTCATGATCTTTTGGACCATAATGTCAGTTGGCATTTTAAAGAATATTCGTTTTGAACTGTGTTCATCGGCTCTGTTATTGCGATCACTATTATCTAAGCCGTTTAAGCCTGTATACTGTGGATTATCAATGTGGTTTACCCTGTAACTCTTAGGGTTTTATTTATTTTAATTCTGTCCAAGCCACACAACAGATGGCAAAGCGGTTTCCAGTAGTGGACAGAACATTTTATTTGAAAGATTTATCACTCATGCTATGCCTTAATAATCTTGATACAATGCGAAGATTGAGAGCATTGCCAAACTTTTGCACCTGCCCTTTTGATATTTGCTGGGGGCAATCCTTTGTAGTTATAAAGACCTAGTAACATTTACTTATCGATTAAACTTTAACATGTCTGATTCTAAACTCCCATCTAAACAGATTCGAATCTATCAGCCAACGTATCAGTTGAATCCCAGAAGACGATTTAACGTAGAAAAAGTTGAAAAAATACTGCAAAAGACCATCGACTATGAATTAGCCGAAGTAGAATATAGTGAAAAATCAGTTCCCGAACTTACACTCAGCCTGGCTGAAACTATACGCAACTCAGTGAAAGAAGAAAATTACGACAGGTACTAAAATCCCTTTGACAAACATATTTTGACAATAACTTACATAACGACAGTAAATTATCTTGGCGTCTAATAAATAAGCACATAACAATGCACGTTACTCGTATTACGATAATGCGAGAGCTACCTTATAAACGTACTGTGTAAAGTGACGATGTAGTAAATTTAAAAATGATGTATATTCTGCCTTTTTTAGCTGGTGTGTCAGTTTTCTCTTGTTTTTATTGTTGCTTTCGCAAAAGCAGATGTTGACGAAAGGTAACTATCACGGAAACTTTGTGCGATTAATAATTGTGTACATGCATAGGTATTTAATTGTGCACATGTATCAGATTATGTGTTCGGTACCTTAAGTAACTTTAATATATTACCGAATAGTATAAGTACTTACTACTTTCGTACTGTGTATTATTTCGTACTTGCTTGCCATATTTGATAAAACCAGGGTAAGTACTACATTGTATTTACTTCTCTTCCAATTTTCGCTTCGTGCTAATCACCAAGTTTCGCCATCGTACTGTTTAGATCAGTAAAATTTCACAGTTTTCTTGGTTTATAGGGAAAATTGATAAGCAGTGTCTCACTTTGTAACCGAGGGCATGAAAAGTATAATCGCAATTGTTTACAATTAATTAATAAAAACCGTTTTGCCGCGCGTTTCATCGTCCTCTTTCTCTATCTCATTGCCGGGCCCAATGAGTTAGAAAGGGCAGTCTTTTGAGTTTACGCCCGTACCTCAGTTCCATTGCAACCAATTTCAGCTGTTCTTTGATCTATTTCAATACATTTTACCTGTATTATTTGTACCAAGGTTGTAGTCACTAGCGATAAAATGTGTGGGATAGTATGAACGTCTAATAAGTGCTATAAAAGATTTGTTAGTCAAGGAACACCTGAAGATAAAACGTATGTAGTAGGGGCAGATAGGTAGGTACGACTCCTCTAGTTATAACTCTAGCCACAGGAGATGATATCTTAGCGACGTGATAGCGTTATTTCGTTTCGTTTTACTATTATATTTTAATTAAAAAGAACGTATGATAATAAAGATTTAACAGCAATGTTTCCAACTTAGTTATATGACTAAGTTTATCCACAAATTTATCCACCAAAAGTCAAAGTAGTAAAATAGAATATAATCGTCATAATATTCGCTAAGATGTCGTATCCTACAGCTAAAGATTTAGGCGTTCGCACCCCGGTACAGCATGGTGGAGCGTTGTATTGTCAGTTAAATAAATGAAACGGCACATATACCTATTGTTCCTTGCATTGTGAACAGTATCCAGAAACCACAAAGATGGCTTTATGTCTAACTGACAGAATGATCGTGTCTGCTATTCATCATACAAAACTTCATCATAGCAATTATTATTGTTCACAGATACCGTATAGTGGTGGTAGTAACGATCGGACAGCGAAGGCAGCAAGGCGTTCACATTTTTCATTCGTTCCTTTGGGACTACGAGCGGGATGCTTTCGCCACGTACAATTTCGAAAACTGCCACATATACGTTAATGTAGTTGTTTATGGTGTTTATTTAGATTAATTATATTAAAATAAATCCTTGTTTATGAACTTTTATATGTTGTCTTCGAAAATTATGAAAATATATTTATATTTAATATATATTTGAAAACCACATTAAATTCCGTTATAAGATTTCAGCGTACATCTCTACCATGAGTCCAAAGCCCTCAAGGTGATTAAGAAAAAATTATTTCCTTCCATTTGGGCTCCCAACTAGTTTTAATACATACATTAGCGTACGCCATACACCGCCACTGTCAAGCGGGAAGGGATTTTGTTTTATACTATAGATAGAGACCCACTCGTAACTCGCAATGGTATATTCTTGTAATGCACCTTCCTCATGCCCGGATCTACAGGGGGAGGGCAACTGAAGGCATCATGCTCCGGACGCCAGTTTCAGGGGCTGCCAAAATCACATTATATAATACCTACCTACTTACAGTTAAAAATATTTTCATACACGTTATAGGCTACGTTGGGACGGACATACTTCAAAATCCCTTATTGTAATGAAAGAAAAAATAATATAAAATCAGGCCTCGTGGAGCATAGGAGGGAATGGCCGTACAAAGTTTTTATTAACCGCGGCAGTGGTTAATAAAAATCGTAGATCTGGGCCTGACATTCCTCTGTATGATCAGCACATAGAACAAGAAGGTCAGTGACTCTCTGTGATAACGTAGACAATGCGCATTTGTACAGTAGATATGCCACTGTAACATTGTACAGTAAAAACCACTAGATTACATGCTATCTCGCGAAGTTTGTTAACAATTAACGGTATGACTTCGATAATTATAATCTATCAAAAATTGAAAGCAGCGTGTTATGGATGTCAATTCTTTGATAGTTAACAAGATCGCCAGACTTATTATTAGGGGGTTATTTTTTTCGCATATATATTAATTAATAAACTACAGAAAACCTCCGCCCAGCTTCAATAACAATTTCTTGAGTAAGTCGCTTTTGAGATAAGTTTAATTTTCACTGTTTTAAAGATTGAAGTTGTTTCTATTTTTGGAAAAAAATTACAATACTTCTAGTAGTGTACATTATGTCTACATAGCTCGATCTAAATTAAATCAATGTTACATGGCCTGATATAGTTTCGAACTCTTCATAAGGCAAACTTTTTTTTAACTTTAACTGTATTTTCATTCAACTTTAAAACATATTTTGTGGGGAAAAGGAGGAAAAATAAAAAACGCAAATAAGCATTTTTACAGATCATACATATTTATTTATTCATTTCATAGTATAGATATCACACACTGGCCCGCCCTTATAAAAATAAATGTGTTAATACAATAACGACCCAGTCTGATAGGAGCCTGCTGGCGTGACAGCGCCGGTTCATCTATTTTGAAGACCCACCAGGATTCCATATATTGGCATCAATTCGCTACTAACCTACAACAATTTTGGACACAATCATTAACGGCGCGGTCACCCCAGCTCTCTTCATCACTATTGAATTCCATCAAATATTCTTATAGAAGAAAATTCTGAGATTATTCTAAACCATTATACAGGTCAATGATATACACATGATTTAATTAATAATATTGTTTGTTTACATTACAAGAAATTCGCACATATTTTGACACACAAAGCGAAGGATTACTCATAATGAGACTAAAATAGCTTTAAGATATTGGTCCGAGACACTGAAGCGAGTTATATCCGCGTACAACAAGGTAAAACTAGCACCAAGCCACCGTACGAGAAACAAAGCAACGCTTGTGGCATTACGGCCACTCGGGTTGCAACAACGATACAAAAAAAGCTATATAACTCGAGACGTTACAGAGGGAAAGTAGTCTGCATATACTGGATCCGTATTTGTGTGTATCTCACATCTAATATCAGACGGTAAGTACCATCATATACCGGGAAATAGATGCGAATACCCTAGGTCGATTATGGACAGTGCGCAAACGCACACCATGCTCCAGCAAAAATGTTCAAAAAGGGTAAATTTTTATAAAAAATTCTAAACAGTTCACCGAGTCAGCCATTGTCTTGAGCATAGTTGCGTAAGCGCGTTTGAGCAGTTTTTTTTTAGAAATTCATCCACTTATTATGTTGTTTAACGGACTAAGTTACAGCCTCTCAGAGTTACATTTACATCCGCATGATATGTGTTACACAGATATAACATTTAATTAGTACTGAGTACATATATATATACCTATAACCATACTGTACAATTATATGGCGGTAAACGTTACTTACGACCTTACGAAAATTAAGAGTAGATAATATGCTAGGTAAGTATAGTATAAAAAGAAACGCAGTGAATATTGGTATCAAAATATTATTCCTAATATACATTGTGTGAAAGTGTATGCTCGATAAGATATGTGATACTTGTGTATAAAGATACATAAAAAAGCATTATAAGAGACCATGTTACATCATTTGGTAGACATATAAAAAGTTTATAGATAGATTTGTAGGCGATCATGAAGTCTCGTCTAACCTTATAGGCTCTACTAACACTCACCAATTCCGATTTCGTCCCATGAGCAAAAATAATTTCGACCTAACTTTGAGCCCAGACGGACAACAGTTTCACCTCGCCATACAATGACAGGTGCGTTAAAAAATAAATTTAGTGAACTCTCTTTCTTAACTAGAAAACAATTTACAAAATCTCTAAGTATAAAAAATATAAAACAACATACTTTAGGCTCAAAATTAAGAATATGTCGTGTAAAGGCTGCATAAAAATACCTACCGCAAAAATATCTAGCATACCTACTACAAAATATCACACGCAAGGTTACCATTCGTTAGTCGTCGGCCGAGCGGGCGCGGACCCAGGGCGGGTGTGGTCTCGAGGGGCCAAATTTTAAACATTTACTAATAAAATATTAAAGCTTAACATACATAAAGATTAAGCATCTCTGCATCTTACATATATAATAGCCATTCAAAATAACTGCAGATTAAAATATCTCATCTTAAAAATAAAGTCTTAAACATTAAACTATAATAAAAGACTCGCAAGTTCAGAAACGATCTTAACTTAGGCCAAATTATAAAAAGAACGGTTCAAATTAAAAATATTATATTAAAAATTCATTGTTCATATATCGCTGTTGTCAAATAAATAGTCTTCGACATCGTGAAAAATTTATTTTAGAAACCATTAACAAAATAAAAATGTGATGTAAAGCCGGACAAATAACTAAACTAACGGTACGACATGGTTCGATCGGATTCTGATAGGGGGTTACATTAAAAATATACTTTATAATGATTAATATTGAGATCGAACTATATCGTATTCAGACTTATTTAGGTATAAACATAATAGAATGAGGCAACACAGTACAGTGGGCGGCGCGCGATCGCGGTCGCGGGCGGCGGTAGACGAGCAGCTCTCTCTAAAATAATCGATTGGCGGTGGTTTATCTGGTTCAGTCCTCGGGGGACGCAATTCAGCTAGATTCCTTCTCTTTCTCCTTCTCTTTTGATTCTGTAACATAACGTTGAAACATATTTAAATAACGTCGAAAATTTAAGTACATAGATGCAACCGTGTAACTATCTAGCCATAGGATAAGATTAAGGATAGGATATGATAGGATGATGATTATGAATTTGACAACAGTCTTACAGAATTAGTCGTTTATACACCAAAAGACATGTCGATGTAGTAGAATGAAACGAAATGTCGCCATTACATCGTTATGATGTCGTATCCTATGGCTTGAATTTGGCTAGAAAGTTACATCCCTGAAGTCATAATTTAAATATTTATTTATGTATTTTTTAACGATATTGTTAATATGGGATTGGTTAGTTTTAGTTTTCAAAATACTGTTATTTGACATCACTATGTATTGGTTTGGTTAGACAAAGTTTTGTTCAGTCAACAGGGGGGCAATTTTACTAAATAAATTTTGTTTTAATCGAATCGAAAACGGATCGAAACCGAACGAAACTACAGTTTTTAATGGTTTTTTTATTCTACTAAGTGACATACGATACAATTCCAGCTAAAATAGAACTGGAATTGTATCGTCGTAGAATTTGCCCCAGGACATCAGGTTATATAAATCTTTTGAATTTCTTTTGATGTAAAGTAATCAATAGAGAATAAGTCAAATTAAAAATATTGAGATAACTGAACCAGACGCAGAGATATTTAGATTACATTAATAAACCAATAATATTACGGTTTAAGCTCGAAATCCAAAGTTATTAAGGAATTTGGACATTTAAATTGGAAAAATATAAATAAAGATGTCGCTAGATCTATTGAGAATTATGAATAATGAAAACCTGACGTTCCATCTAAAAATATAAGTCGCTATTTATATAACAAAAAGTATACTTACATAATGCTTAAATGCATAAAATCATAAATAAAATAATAATAGTTTTCAGCATTTTAAAAAGCATGCTTTTTTCTATAATAATAATAACTATATTGGCGTGCCTTTTCTCATTCATCATATCATTCAATAAACATTATGTTAGCAAAATTCACGCGCAAGTCACGAAGGTATGTCCCGACATCTCATGACCAAGCAACCATTTTCCTTAGATAAAGTATCCAAAACCTACCAAATATAAGAATTAAACACTTTTAAATTTAAACAATTAAGTAATATCAAATCCTTTAAGTATAAGATACTGACTCCACGAACTTTTTCCCGCCTTTCAATAGTAAATAAAGTCACTCATGGCCTCATATTTCATTTTCTAATAAGATGACAAATATTTAAGAGCGTGCAATCTTAAATGTCATAATCTTATTTTTTTTTCAGTGCACCATGACAGCTTTCGTCAACGTAACCTATTAAACCGAAATTCATCTATTCCGGTCGGTGATAAATCAAATATACATTTCGTTAAATCCGATCACAAATAATAAATAGTGTAACTAACGCGATTTTAGGACTTTATTTACATAATATGGATAAGCGAGTGATATTGGCGTTACTACCATCAGTTCTATAATTCTTTTCTGTTAAAAATATAGGATATACATGGCGCTGTCACAGCATTAGAGGTTCAATCAAATAAACCCTACTTCACACGAATAATGACATGTATTAATAAGACGCATGGTGAAACTTCGAAGAGTAGCCAATTGCGATGGTGGCCGAGCATACAATTTAAATTTATAACAAGACTTATTTTAATACTCATAAGGTGTAAAATACAACACATTAGGTTTTCGTCTCGACATTGCAATTGTCGACATTTACCGCGCTTCGAAATCCTTCTTCTTTAGCTTTCTGTGCAGGTATATTGATGAGCCACATCAGTTATATTTTATTGTAATGAGGGTGTATTTGATCTAATACACATATGAACATCTTAAACTAAGACAGTTCATCGGCCCGTACAACTTTGTATTTTAACAGAACACCAAAGATGAACCGAATTAAATAAGCTGCACTTGCACTTAACTAGTATATTGCACACTATTGACAATATGTACTTAAAACAATGATAAAATTATTTAGGCCAGTGACTAAAAATTACGAGCGAAGTATGTTCTACATAAAAAAACAATGCTAATAACGCTCATTTACTATTACAAGCGACCAACCTGAAGGTTATATAAATAATTATATACCGTTTGAATCAGCATTGTGTAGCAGATACAGCGTTTATATCTAAAAAAAATCGTGCGTGCGTTATGTAATAAAAGCGTAAATAACAATGGTTATTTTGAATAAATACTTAACGTACGTATGTGAAGCTTGTCTGTACGTCTACGCATGCTTGGTCACAATAGATCGAGACTGACCTTCGTCGCTGTTACCGTTAGTGAGAGGTTCTTCACCGTTCTTCTCACCGTTCTCAGCTGGTTTTTTGTCCTCTTCTTTGGCCTCCTTGTCCTTCTTCTCCTCGGAACTCTCTTTGGCTGGTTTCTTCTCCTTGCCGGCTTTGCCCTTAGCAGGGGTGGCGGGTTTCGGCTTAGGCTCCAAAGAGGGATCCAACACCAGCTTGCCAATATTCTTGCGATCGTGCATCTTCTGCATAGCTTCTGCCACCTATTACAAAAGTTACATTTTATTATAATGATTTTTAATGGTAATTAATTTCAAATTATACTTAACTCTGCCAAATAAGACTTGGAATTATTAAAATTTCCGATATATATCTATGTATAATATAAATTTATAGGTTATTATATAGATTGAATCCTCGTAATGCCTGAATATATAAAAAGAAAGGAAAAAACAATAAACGAGCGCACTGAAATGCTTATGAAAAAGTATCCAAGACGCTGTATCTTATGTGCGATCGTCTATAATTCTAACCATAAGAGTCGACATCTTGACGAATATTATCACGTGATATTTCGTTTAATTTTACTTCTTTGACATGTCATTTGGTAGATTAGTTACTATGTTAAAAACACTGCTGTCAGATCCATATTCATCAATGCCTATCATTCGGTCTGTCAAAGTAGTAAAATGGAACGAATTAATACTAGTACCATAGCAGCTAGAATGTTGCTGTGGTTAGAGTTAAAGCTAGAGGAGTTAGGCGACCGCTCTGCTGGTGTCAGCAAGTAAATTTGTAATGAGCATGGATATTTTTAAAAAGGTCTATCCCCCCTTACTCCGTTGCAATTGTGCCGTTTCGAACTCGTGATTGGGTGCACTAGCGCCATAGTACCTATGCTAGTGAACCAATCGAGAGTGCTCCGGAAAAAGTAAAAACTAAAGCCTCGACTCAAAAAGAACGCGGTTTAATGGTCTCGCTCGCGCAATTATTCACGTTAAATAAAAAAAACATAGACATTTTATGCAGGTATGTTTGAATATTTAGCAGGGCCTCGGTTCAATCTTCCTTGATACTCAATAATATAGACGTTTGTAATTTATCTACCGATTCTTATTTTTACTTGAATAATAAGAATCATTTCTTCAATAATAACGCTGTAAATATGTTATTGAATAACTTATACTTTCACTAATTGAAAACAAAATAAATGTCTCTTATCGTTTAGAAAGTGATTGGAAACTTTTTAAAGTAACAATGTTACACTAAGATAAGTAGACCGAATGTTTACCAGTTTATCATACCTCTTTGTTTAAGAATAAATAATATTATTATAAATATTCACAGTCCGTTCATTTTATGAGTTACTTTGAACACAACTTGTTGATAAAAAAATAAAAAAACAGTTTGTTTTCATTTTTTTTATCAATCGAGGTTCATAAGCACCGAGAAACTTTTAAAGACGTTACATATTTTTCATTAAATTGTTGAAGCCTTTATCTTTTTTATGTTATAAGGACCGGATATAATACAATACAACTATGACAAAACAGTCTTCCATTCATCTTTGAATAATGTGTCATTACTTTTTGTTATGATTGTCCACATTCGAGTCCGATTATCTTGTTCTTTTTATATATTTGAACGTCTTACGGTCAGTAGCACAAACGTCCATTAAGGTTTAATGACGTCTTTTATCTCAAATGAATATTCTAAATATCAAAATTTGTATCAATAAGATCGCATTAAACTAATGTCAATTTTAATGGACGTTATTGAAACGGGCAGTTATTAAAAAATATTTAAAGTAGATATACCCGAGAGTTATGTTTAATCTAAAAACTATCCCTTGTGTTGATTAAGGTGTCCGATAAAACGCTATTTAATAGTATTTGTATGCATTTTTACTTGAAACGATTTCAAGGCATTTTAGGTAAAAAACGGAATCTGTTTCTTTATTTCCGAAAAAAACATTCAGTTTTAAATACTTTATAACTAGACTAGCTTTCCGCAAGCTTCGTCATAGTCATGTTTATTTTCCTCTTGAAGTACTCTATACATAATTAAACAGAGACAAGAAACACTTTGTTTTCTACTATGTATTGATCAGTGGTGGACTAACCTCATCGGAGGGCCGGTACAAGCGCATACATTTTTAACTTTACTATATTATTATGATTTTGGCGAATGGCTGCAGCCATTTGGAGACCACCACTGGTATAGATTAAAATACTTACGTCTTCAAGCGCCCACGTGGAGTCAACTAGCGGCTTAACCTTCCCCTGTGCCCATAGCGCAAACACCGCATCTACAGCGCGCCGCACGTACTCAGCGCGGCCCTGCTGGAACAGCAGGTGCCGCAAGTTCAGACCAGCCAGGCTCTTGTTCTCATCGAACAACTTGATCGGTGACACCTTGTCCACTTGCCACCACTGAAAAAATGATCAAATACATTAATTATTAGTTCAATAAAACAACATGTAGGACAGTGACATTGGCTATGATTTCTTTATTTTAATTATAGTATTATTATGGTTATTAGAATTATAGTTATCTACGGCATCGTTTCCCATTTATTTAAAGAAAATTTACAAAAACCATATTTTTGCTGCTATTTTCGCATTATTGAATAGACAAATAGATTTACAGACATCTGCTATTATTTTATATAAAAAGCAGTTGAAAAGAGGAAAGAGCAACGTGATCTCTTCTATGCTGTGACGACTTTTAATCAGAATTTATTTTAATAGACTACCACATAGAATCACTTATACTTAACCCTATAGTTCTGAGCAGTTTCACCGTGAAAGCAATCAGATTATTAAATCATTAGATACTCACGGCACGCGCAGCGCTGAAGAAACTCTTCGTCTCGCCGGTCACGATGTTAGATGATCCTGCGATACAACGCCATTGTTTACTACCTACTGATATTTAAACATGACAAACTGTGGAATGCTACTTCAAGGAATTCAACTGAAAGAAAAGCTTAATCAAAACTAGCTATCATAATAACGGCCACAGATTTCAATCTAGCCTTAGTTGAATCACTCAAAATAGCCATTATAACTGTTAACTTAAAAATTTTAAACATCTCTTTTTTATATGTATTTGTTTTATGAAGTTCTAAGACGAAAGCTATTTTGCAATCGTTTGAAATATAAGTTAGTGAAGGGTTAAATTGATCCATTATTTCTTATTCAATGTCCGAATTACAATGTTTGAGTATACAATTTTCAAGAGGAGTAATGTAAATAAAACAACATATAATCTCCTGCACTTATGTACTAATATTGAATAAAAGATTCTCACCGTAAAGGATGTATCGTCCCATAGGCTTCAATAGTGAGTAGCCTCGGTTGCACTCTTCACCGCATAAGCAGTCCAGGACAATATCCACTCCATCAGGGGATACCCTGGCAATATGACAGAAGCAAGGATAATACAAATGTTCGAACTAAGAATGTTGCTAATGCAATAGACGTTATTTCGTGATATCAAAAGTTCTTCAACATAAGTTTTTCTATGTAAAACACGACGCAAAATTCTTAGCCTTAACGCAATCAGTGTTATACGACTACACTACATATGTTTTACAGAATAGATTTGACTAACATTAATACGTATAATTTGGTTCCCATATGTCTATATCCGTATAACGTAGCACTTTTTATACAACAATGTTTTAATGTATGTGCTCTTTAATCAATTTCATAATATCATTATTCATTAGTCACAATAACCGAATCTAAATAATGGTATGCCATTATTTAGATTCGGTTATTGTGATGATTATTTAGATTCGGTTATACAATAATTGTTATCCAATGATGAGTATAATTTTCTTTTGATCTGCACAACGTAAACATTATATTATTTCTAGCGTAAATATTAGAATTTCAACATTTCGTAAGACAACAGCATCATCATCTTTCTTGTAAGAGTAGTAGATATGTGGAACTGTTTATTTACATTGAACTTGTGTGGCTCTGATGTTTACGCATCGAAGATCTCCCCAGATATAAAAATATCTTTGTCTATTTACGAGAATTAAATACCGCGGCTGTTACGAAGCAGCTGCCCTACAGAGCGGGTTATAAACTGAACAATTAACGTGCTCACAATCCAACTTTATATAGACCTTTACTTAGATCCCTCTCCGTTGATTAATGAACGACACGAAGAAAGAATGAGGTCTCATTTTAAATTGGTGGCATTCGTATCACACGGATCGAGATGGCACTGAAATATGTAACTATAATAACCACCAATTAAGAGAGCTTGGGATTGGGAACATCTTGATGGTAATGCTTTGACATGACAATGGGAACTTTTATTATTGCGTCACTTCTAATTATATTGTATCTATATTTTTATCGATCGTACTATAAATACTATAGTTATTGGGATATATTGATTTGTACTTTTAAACAAAGTAACTTTTTTATTAGATGTATCTCATGTATCAAGACATGCTTTAATTCTATAACTATTCATTTACAAATCAAAATAATACATGTTATTAAAATTTAACAACATGAGTAACGTTAGTGATTACGTTATAATTACGATACGATGTTATAATAACAGAAATTTTAATGGCAATATAAAAAGAAGCGGTCCCTCGTAACTGCCAAAATGGATCAAACAAACAGCCGCAATCACGTCAAATGAACGTAAACATTTTGTAAAAAGTCCCGCATTCTCGAGATCGCTTGTGAAACATAAACAAAGGTATTAGCAGCGGAGGGCCGAGCCGAGGTTTATTTTAAGCACTCGCGATATCATGATTTCATCCCTTCATTTTTAGAACCTAACTCGACCCATTACAAATTATACCGCTACATTGTGATGTGACTCATTATAACTGCATCAAGTACTTTAAAAATAACAATGACTAATTAATAGTAACTTCACAGTTTTCAATATATTTACTGTGTCTTTACGTTTATGGTTACATATTTTACTAAATAATTAATAAAGTCGTATGGTTTTTATTAAATTAAACTTATTGGCACCGGCTAGGTTCAAAGGGTTATGAAAAACAAAAGCTCGAGAAGTTTTAAAGAGCTTATGAACTAAGATTATATAATATCCTCCTAACTCTCCGGCAATAGGATCAGATACGACATCTTAGCGATGTTAGAGCGTTAGCGATGTTTCGTTTCATTTTACTATTTCGACTATATTTTAGAAGATTAACGATAAGTTGGTTACACTGTGGCCAAATCCATAATATTTATTGTTTGTCATTCGTTCGTTTATTCAAGTAAAAACATAGGATGTCGATCCTATGGGTAGAGTCATATCTAGAGAGTTAGGCGGTTGCACCCCTGGTCAGTCAGTCGACCGCAGAACTGCTTCTAGTTGGTAAGCAGTCGGAATTTTCAAAAAGATTACCCAAATTGTCCATGAAAATAATGCCAGTAACAAAGACTCAATATAACTAGAACTACTTTGATAATTCTCCTCGGTGGTTTAAGATTTGTGCTAAAACAGTTTACTTATTTTCATTCAAAATCAATAAAAATGTGTTTCTTACTTTCTGACTTCGCTAGTGTAGTCACTGCCCCTCTCCAGCAAGTGGTCGATGTTGTTGTTATTAGCCTTCAGCGCTTCATGCTTGCTTTTAGAGCAGACTCCGAAGACGGTCACGTTGTCCACAGTCTTCGCTAGTTGTGCCACAGCTTGGCCCTACAGTGAATATGTTAGACACATTATTTCTTTTCTTGATCACCGCAAAAATTCTAAAACACTTGCGCATGTAACACGCGTGTTTATGAAATCTGTTCGATTTTTAAAAACAAACATTTTTTTAAACTGTGTGGCAACAGCGAATACCGATTTCAGTCTATAAACACAAAAGCAAATTAACTGTAGTCTTCAAAAACAGCTCACGATTAAGCAATCTTGTAAAAGAAGTCTTATATTATTGCAATAATTAGGAACACTCAATCAGCTTAATGAAGTATGCAACCTACATTTTTAAAATCATAAAAAATAAGGTTGTACAATTTGTTCATAGATAAAATTTATCGTAATTAAGTAAGTAATTAATTTACATTGACCGGATACGCATGGTTCTCTTGCAACATTTCAATTAAAGTTGGTTGGTACATATTTTTATAGTAAAGTTTAGGACCCCATTCACGGTACGTACCGTCGTTACGAAGAATCTGAAGAAAAGGGTAGATTAATCGTCATTATTTCCTATTTTTTATATAGTAAATCCTATTTCCTCCCAACTCACATAGAATCGTCGTTGCGATCTATCTGAAGCGGATCGTAACGACGTGTCGTAAATTAACGTATATGGGGTCCATGAAGTACTTTAAGTTTAGTAATTCTGTTGATATGAACTAGTCTAAAATTAAGTTTAAAAGAAAAAAAAAAGGTTTATCTTACCAAACTGAATTTTAAATTCTGTCAACTACAAACAGCAGTTTAATTACACCTTTTATAATATATACCCAGGAATTTATCTATATAACATTAAATTAAATTAACATGTGTTAGAATCCATACGCACTTAAGTATTGAAAGAATTGTATAGAGTAGAAATAACAGTACAGGGTACAGGTCATTAACTTTTCAGAGAGCATTATGCAGATGTGTACCTTTGTAATAACGTCATTCATCGACGAACAAAAATTTTTTTTCACACGTAATTAAGAACAAGACTCCTAGCATTAGTTAAATTGTTTGCAGACTCGTTGTAGCAACGATAATATGAACTGATGAATCGAACCAACAAATAGTCTTAAACTGTAACTAAACATTACATAAATATATCAGAAGAAGCCCAAGTACAGAAATCGAGTAATATTCTTATGTAATGTGAATTTTTAAAAATCAAATAATTCCAAGATTTATTTAATTTAAGATTAATATAGTATTTTTTACAATGAAAATTGACAGTAACAGAGATGTATATTAAGCTATTTTACAATAATTATAAAATAATTTGTGACGCTCTATTTTTAAGAATACGTTATCTTTCTGCCTCATGAACTAGCGTTGCGATTTAGTCACGTTTTCTCTTCATCTTTAATGTTAACAGATCTTTATAAGGGCATGTGCTACTGAAAGTATTTTTAGCGTCATCTTACACATTGCAACGTATAGTAAGTAACAAGGAGCTCTTCATAATAACAAAATGCTTTCAAATATAACTTTTTATGATTCCAGATTTTATGTAAGTACAATAAATATAAAGCTTATTAAAACACTCAATAAAAATGTGAGTTTAAACACAACGCAAAAGATTTGAGGGCAAATCAAATAATACAACCAAGAGATAAAGTAAATACTCTAGTGTGATCTAAAACTAATTTGTGAAACCGGGGACATTAGTAGCAATTTATTATACTACTTCGTAAAATGCCGATTTTTAAACAAAATATAAATATATGTAGTATAACTTAAAACTGAACGTTTCATTAAAAGTGGTTTACTTGGACTTGTTTACTGCTGTCAATATAAAATATTACTTATATACTCCGAGTGAGGATGACAACAATTACGGCGCTTTCAAAACTTATAACAAACTACCCACGTAACAACTTATAAGGTTAAGGGCTGTTTCTACGAACGTTTCTTCTATTCTCGAAACGCTTTTATGACTAAAGCTACGCTTTTTTGATAATTTATAATGCAACGTAGGCATCTGATGTAGTCTTCACGAATATGATTTTAACAAAATTATAAAATCAAAATAGACCTTCTGTTCTAAACTATACTTAGCAAAATGTCTATTTACAGAATTGAAAATGCAGTTTGATAGAATTAAAACTATATCATAGAGTAGCACTTACCACGCCTCCACCAGCAGAGTGTACCAGCAGACTCTTGCCAGATGTAAGATTGGCCATCTCGAAGAGCAACAAGTAGGCCACCACGTAATTGGTGGTGACAGCCACGGCATCGAGTGCGCTCATACCATCTGGCACTGCGTACACATACTGCGCCGGCACAGCCACCAGCTCAGCCCACGCCCTGTACTCGGGAAGAGCCACCACTTGGTCGCCAACCTGTTGAAAAGTTTCCGATTACAGGAAAAAATCTTCAACAGCACATTTTTTTCACATCTGAAATTTCACGAAGCTGTCTAATTTCCCCACTTGTTATATTGTGGGTAGAATGAAAATCACTTGCGGAAATTTAACATATTGTGGTAACCTGACATGCAGTCATGTCATAACTCTGTACCGAAACTCTGTGTGATATGAATTAATTAACACGATGTATATTTCAGTAATTAAAGATAGACAAACAGATGAACGACTGCAATTTAAAAATAGTAAATGAATTATAGTTATTATTATAATAATAAATGGTAAGATAAAATGAAAGGTATAAAATCGTGTTAATGTTGCATTTTCAATTCGGATTTCGATTAGATTTGGAAATTAGTATACCAATCATTGGTTTGGAAATGTCTTTACTTCTATTAGATGTAAGTTTCTTTCGCTCGTTTAAGTCAGTGGTTAGTTGGCCAAAAAAATGTTGGCCGATTTAAAAGTGCTTTAATTAAGTTAATTTGAATAAAGATATTTTGTGTTTGACATTAGTCTACCCTAATCTAAGCCCACAACAACATTGTGTTGCATATACTTTCTTAAATAAACTAAACACTACAAAGATTTTATTATATGCACACGAACATAACAAATGTAATCTAATTAACATCCTTCGAAAATAAAAGTGATTTGAAAAATAAAAGGTAGTAAAACAATATTACTGTGTATAAAATAAATAAAAGATAAGTTCGTGTCGTTTCATAACTTATAATTTCTATGTAGAACACATAAATATTTATTACTTTATACCTATAGCAAACATAGCATAGTAACCAAAGCCTCGGCGAATAAAACAAAATTTCAGACTGTCTACATAAAGGGGCCGGTGAAAATTGCGGCTTCCCGTCTTTTTATAGCCTACCCCCGGGCAAAGTTTAATATGTATGACCTTCTTCCACCTTTCGCCGAAAAGTGTTACCCCCTCCACTAGAGACGACTCGAGCGAATTGTTTAGTTACATTTTTAAACCTTGGCATTGAGTTCGAAGGCGTAGTGGTTAACGCGTTCAGTCTACAATACAAAGGCTAAGTAACCTTCGTAAGAGTTGGTCATAGGATGGGTGATCAAGAATTTATTAACTCGAAGCTGCATTAAACCGTTGGTCTCGGCTGTATATGCAGTTTAACACCAACTAATCCACACTGGACTGCTTGCCCGTCCATATTTTATTTCATCCATATGGAATGCCTGTGCCCAGTAGTGAGGTATTATTTATAGGCTTCGCATTGTCAGACTTGAGTGTGCGCACGATTATTATTTAAAAAAAACCTATAAAGACATAAGACATAAGAGATAGATATTCAAAGTCGTACTTTTAAATAAATTATCTATTATAAATGAATATTATAGAAAATAAATCTTTCAGGGACTTTTGTTAAAACTGTGAATTTTCGTTAATATAGCTTTTAGCTCTTCCGTCACATAAAGTTGACGACCCCTTATCTATCCGAATATTGTTTTTCAATTAATCAAAAGCAAATAAACAACTCCAACAGTAAAATTTGTAACTAAAATTTGTTAAAGCATAATTTTAGTAATTATTTCGTTACAAAGAAATAGACATAAACGCGTTACCAATTACATCAAATTACAAAACATCAATTAGGTAACTATAACAGGTGTTATAGTTACTTAACTTACGTATCAAACTCAATTACTAACGGTAATCCAGCCATTATATAGAATAATCACTCTTCATTATATTCTTCACCTTATAATCTTAAAAGATTGCAAATATGGGCAATAGTTATCAAAAATAATAGCAGTTATTAAATATTCTACAATTATGACTGTGAAGCTAAGATATCTCGCAATTTCCACACCCGCACGCATACACATACACAAATTCTATAAATTCACATGTAAATTCAACACGTCGGACTATAAAAAAACTGTCAAATTTTCCCACTCGTTTCCAAACATTAACATATTGAGGATCAAAATCCATAACAGAAATTTAACATATTATAGTAACGTGCCGACGTGCAGCCGTGTACAAACTGCAACAAATCTAACAACTATGGATGCCCCGTGGAGGAGCGAAACACTTATAAACTGATGTCTTGCGAGATCTGTTGCTATTTGTACGTGTGAATTTACGTGCAACGGTGTACAACAGATCTTACAGATACTGACTAGGTGTGGAAGTTCCTAGATACCAGAGTTTCACAGTTATAGCAATGGACTTCCGCAAGATAACTCTGGATTCTATTAAAACGTTACAGAAGTTCAGTTATAATATCAAAAGTAATTTAAAGTAGGTTCTTATACAAATCAGACATGCCCACCAAGAGTTCCGTAGAAATATATAGATTGCCAAATCATTATTGAATCAAATAAAATATGTTCTGTATATGCACATGAAACCGTTTAATACTAAAAACAAGCCTATAAAACGATTTTTTTATGATTGAATTATGTATATACTTTATAGATTTTTCCTTGAACTTGTACCATTATATAATTATTTTTCTCTTTGCCTAACACAGTTTCACTTGTCAAAATTCATATTTCTAGGTCAAAGATTTTGACTCCCTTGAGAGAATATATAAGTATGTGTAAATTTGCGTTTTTTGTGTCGTTTTACGTAATTAACGTAAAATAAAAAGATTCTTTTTTCACAGTTACAAGGGGCTACTCGATATCTACACGCGTTCCCGAAATGAATATCTCATTCCCATGGGAAGCGACTTTAACTCAATTTATTTATTTATTAACACTAATTTTGAATTTTAAAGTTACACCAAAGTTCTTCAAATATGTAACCGAGCGTAACAGTATCCTTTGACCGGTCACGGTACCATGACGTTACTTGGGGAAGCAGTTTTTTTAATCGCCATTGTTCAACTTCCAGGCTATGTACTTTGCACAAAGGATTGAATTAATGTTACATCCATACCTACAACATTTGATGACACTAATAAAGAATAACTTGGAGTAAATCGAAGCATTTGATCATATTTCGATTGTTCCGTAAAATAAAATTTTACTCAAGCGAGATTATGTTATGTTTAATGTATTTTTGTTTATACTAAAACAATAAATACAGTATTACGTATGTGATATAAAGGAACTAAGTGACGAGAGGAACATTTGATTAAAAAAAATCCTGTGGTTTCGAACATTAATGATAATTAAACTGTATATTTTACAGATACATTAATCATGTATAACAATGATATGCAATTGGCTACCTTATCACTATACGTAATCTCTTCCAGGCAACCTTGAGTTTAAGAGGGGAACGTGCTAAGGGATTTTGGTAGGATCCCACGGGAAAAGAAATACCGTGTGTATAAAGAATGAAGAATCAGATATACAGAATGGGCATAAGTTTTAATATAACCCTTTAAAAAAATATCTCTAATCTTATGAGTCCAGATTAAAATTTCTTTACTATTAAACTGAAACCATATCTAACGTATTATACGCGCTTTGTCAAACATTATTCGTGACTTTTTTGCAACATTGTAGCAATGAACCGGAAATTTCGTCTGGATTTGCGTCGAATTCATCCCTTTTAAACAAGTTCTTAGAGTAAAACTGACCTTGAAATTGGTGACGCCTTCGCCTACGGCCTCAATTTCTCCTGCACATTCGAAGCCAAGGATGAAGGGTGTCTTAGGAGGCGAGTCTATGACTCCCTGCCTAACAATCAAGTCCTGGAAGTTCAGCCCACTGTAACAAGAAAGAAAAAGTTTCAAATAAATAAAGAAAATTTCATTCTATTTATTAACGTCTTGTTATATATTTACCATCGTGAACAATATCAATAACGTTTATTTCATTCACAAATACATAAACTTATCATTACTTATCTACATAGGCAATTTACTATGAAACTGTTTTGCGTGTAAGCAGCAAATCTTATTAGAAGTTGTTGTGCGGCTATTTTCTTGATTGAATGTGATAAAAAAGAATTGGATGCCGATAGGGAGAATTGAAGGTTGATATGAATTAAGGATTTAAGGAGCTTTCATGTTCATTTCCATTAGGACGATAGTATTTTTATGGGTTTTTGTTGAGTTCTCGACATTTCGGCGCTGTAACAAACGCCATGATAACAAAGTAACTGAATTTTTTGCGGGTGGATGTCACAGACTAGAAATATCTATCTACCTTCATTCGAGTCCATATAGGCGGTGTAGACTCACGGCGATTAGTGTCGCCGAGCCTTTTTGGCGGGAAGAAATATAAAGAAATGTGAAGGCGAGAAACATCACATTCAAGAGTCTCCGATGTTCTCGGGGCTTCTCAGGGTGAGTCTTTAACATAGTGTACAGTGGTACGGGTATCGAAAAAAATAAGGGAAATATTCAGTCACGAAAAGTATTGAAAAAAAAAACTGATATTATTTCCTTTCGTAGCATAAAATTCATTAATAGTGCCTTTTTTACAATTTAATGAAAACAAGAAATTCATAATAATATATTTTCTTAGTCTTTCATATCTTATCTTTCATTTGTATCTCCGAATAACACTACTTACATGAAAATAATATTACCAACAGTAATATACCACTATACATATTGCCTTTTATCCTACAAAAGGTTCCCTAAGGATAACAACACCGTAACCCACCTACACAACTTTTGCATAATAACATCAAAAGGTACCCTAAATTGGGAACTAGCACAAAACAATTTAATTAATTCCTTCTCCATAAAGTCAGAGGATTGAAGTAACTATTTCTGTAATTTTGCTATTCAATACACCAGGTAGATTAATACCAACTCCCTTTTCACCATTCTGGTCATAGCCGACCTTTATTAAAAATTCCTCCATTACCAAAGAATATGCACTGTTAGGGACAAACACCTCATAATGTTATCGTCTTTGTTATCTATGGATTGGTGTATTGCTTTTACCGTCAAACTGCCAAGTTCATTAATGACCACCAATGGATTGAATAATACAGCAGTGAGTGCCTAATCCTAATTAAAGTAGTGGGGGCCAGGAATGCGGCAGTCATTTGTTATTGCGCGTTGTATTGACGCATGGCCAGCATAATTTATTTCATATTTAAATATTTAAACACATCAATAGCCTCGGACCCCATATAACGTAGACGAGTGCCTGTCCAATGTTACGCCATTTACGTGCTGCGATGTACTCGATATAATGGCACTGGATAATATGGTCTAATCATAATTTTAATAGTTTGTATAGATTAGTATAAGAGTAATGAAGTAAAATAGCAAAGAAAATAATTCATGTAGGTATTAAGTAGGTATAAGAAAGAACGGAAATATTGCCGAAGTACGAAAAAGTTGATAAAAATACAAATAAGAATGATACAAAAATGTAATAAAAGTGAAACAGAATTTTATACATTAAAAAAAAAAGAAATTAATCTGCCAGAAAATAAAATATTGTAGGTAATTAACTCCTTTGACGGTCCCGTAATGAAAGAAATCAATTTCGCTTTTGTTTATAAAAAATAGCATGGTACCTATTACGAGGTCACCGTTAGTCTGGATGAATCGATATGAATATTCATCGAAACGTACTATAAAGATAGGTGAGTAGCAATTCTGGTATGAGAAGCCAGATGCCTATGTAATAGCTACAAAAAACCACCTCAACTGGAACCGTTGTGTTATAGTATTTTTCCGCTAGACTGAAAACAAATATTAGCGTAAGATATACAATTCAAAGCTATATTTAGATTGAATCGCGCCAGTTTAGCCTGTTCAATTAAATTATTTAATTAAATAATATCATAATCACTGGTGTCATTGATAGTCGCCGAAATTGTATGAAGAACTTTAACATTTAGTTTATGGCGAGAGTTTACTTATTTTTGAAACATTACGATTTATATAATTTAGTTGAATTTTTTATCATCAGAGTGAAATTCTGCTTTTACCTATAACTTTCCATTAGAAGAACGTTATAATAACCAAATGGTTGAATACTGTTTTCTACTAATTGTCAGTTTCGAGAATCACCCAGAAATTCATGCCGGCAGTTCCTGTGTTTACACAAAAGGAATGCTTGGACTTCCTTCTTTATCGATCGGTCTACAATTAAGTCAAACGTTATTGTTTATTTTTTGTCTCAAAAGTGATTTAGATTCTCAACGAGACAATGATCGTGAGTAGTATTGCACAGGTTCGAATACGTGTAATTAGGTAGGTAACTATGTATGTAAATCGAATGATGCGGTACGTGTACGCATTGCAAAACAGTCCGCAGTTATCGTGTATCGAATTTATTCAGACACTAAATGTATCTTGCACTTATTACTTTAAAGGTGAAATTCGATCAGACTATAGTCGACCGTACTTCTGGTAATCGATATTTTGCGATCGTCTCCCCTCCTATTGACGCATAATGAATATGACAGTAACAACACAATAATACGTCTACACAATGTTATAATAGTAACTGCATAAATTGATAGAACATAATATGAGAATTATTTACTAATATGAGCCTATTTACTTTGCATGATAACTTCGAGACTTAAATTAATTATCTATCTTAAAATAAAAACATATATGTATATGAGATTCTCATAATAAAACCCTTTCATATGATAAGTCACACTCACATACATAATTTACCCCCAAAGAGGCTTCCGTGTTTAAAATTCAATTATTTACGTTACACGAACGCCTTGGGTTATCAACTTATATTATATGTACGTTGCACCGCAATTGGACTAGTAGTTTCTAACAAAATCAATTGGACAAACAGACACATTGATAACCAAGTGACTCTTCCTATAAGGGTTCCGTTGTTCCGTTTGAGATGCGAAACCCCAAAAAACTCGCAAGTATAAAATAAAAAACATATATGCTCTCTCATGTCACCCATCATCATACAAAGCAACTGATTAATGATGTTAAATGACTTTTATTAATAACGGTATCTGTTTCCCCCTCAATATTTACAAATTATAGGGGTACCGTGACGTAATAACAATGCATACTGGTTTATTTCTATTACAAATAAATGTGTAGGGGGATATATGAAATAGCCTATGTTAACCACGTATGATGTGGCTTCTCATATGTGAAAGAAGTTTCCAAATTGGTCCAATATAGCCTTTTTTTGATTTGCCGCTCAGGCAACAAACAATCAAATCTGTTCCTCTTTATAATTTTAGTATAGATAGCGGCTAGACAAATTTGGCTTTTTTTTTCAATTAGATATAAAATGTCCTATAGTTCAAAGTTGTCACAGAAATAGTCAATTCAGGAAGAACAGGTGTTTTGTTTTACCAAGAAGACTTGACAGCTTAAGTTATTAATGGTGTGCTCTATTTGTAACAATATAATCCAGCTACATTGGAACAATTACTCAAATTACAACACAGACTTTCGCAGTGGTATCTTTTATATCTCTTGTATATAGTTAAAGCAAAAGGAGAAGAAATGTCTAACGTTAGCGTGTAAGCTCTCAAATATTAAAGAAGTTTCAACGATTCTGAACGGTATTGAACAATATTGAACGTTATGAGGTGCTTTCCAAAAATTCATTTTAAGATTCAAATAATTAAACAAACATAATTTGTTTGTCATGCTGCCCTCAAATACTAGACAGTTGCCTATTCTGCATATATGAACAGGCCAGACAGGGCTAATTGTCGAATTTTAAAAACTATCGCATCCCTTTCAAAGGTGTAGCGATGTTAGCTATTTATATAACCATGTTACTTTTAAAACCGCAATTGCTTTTGGAGTGAATGATAAAAACTCAATTAAACTTAATAAAAACTTAATTGATTCCGTAGAAAGATTGCAGCTAGCATTTAACTATTTCGTTTGACATTTCCCGATAGCTTTCAAGCTTTTATTTAATAACATGTACGTATGAGTGAAACAAAATAGTTTCTCTTTGAATAGTCAATAGTCATTTACCTGTTTTTACATATGAACTCCAAAGCCCAAATCCTTACATTGAAACTTCCTTGATTCCAATGGCAACCAAAGTACTACTTGATGGTCTTCCCAATCGTTACACGGCTAATTTTAACGGAGCCCCACTACCGACTCGGCAACGCAACACTCTACGTGACTCCGCCGTGAGCATAACAGACGTCAATCGACCAAATGGTTATAAGAGCCTACCAATATAACTAAACAAGGAAACGCCAAAGAGGCTCAAACAAACTCTCGAAATACCTACAATGCCCCCGGCATTCCTCTAAATCCGATCGTTAAATCACAAATCGATCCGGTTACAAATAAGAAAATTAATAGTGTTTCTAAACATCGCCTAGTGGTGATCGAATTGTTCAAAATATTAATACATCGTCTAGGAATTGCTGCTTCTGACCGGAAACCGTTAAAGTTAACAACGATGAGGCATACATTTAGAATGAAAAAAATCCGTGTCATTTCAATTTCCGTAAAACTGACTTGCTGAATTTAAAAAATGGTGACAAATAGATAATCCTGTAAACAAAGATTTAATCCATATTTTATCCATAACTTCGTCCTAGTGAATTAAGAGGGTGTCAATACCATATAGTTAAGGTAGTTAATACCTGCGGGAGGTTTTAAACTATATCAGTTTTATTAAAAAACGAAGAGTAACTTTTGTACTTGGGCCCTTACCATTTAATTTTAAAATCGATTGCAGTCCTTTTGAATTTGAAGTTAATCGTGAACTTCACGTTACAATTATTTGAGATGAGATAGCGATTGTAATTTTTGAAAGGTATTGAA